CATTACCCTTTAATATTCAATAACATTGCCAAGGCAGAGGCAGTGGTGTAGTGTTAAAGTCATCGAGCTAACAATCCAGAGGCTCAGACAAACACTGTGGGATATGGGTTCAACTACCAACAAGGTGAAATTTGATTTCAACAAAATCTCTAATTGAAAAGATGGCCTAATGGTGCCCATCTAAAGGTTGTTGCTTTTAAAATAAAAATTGGTTCATTAATGCCTTTTATGGATGGAAACCTGCCATCCTTATCTGGTCTGGCCTACAAGTGACTAGGCCCAAAATATTAACTCTGATTTCTCTCCACAGATGCTGCCAGACCCACAGAGTTTCTCCACCAATTTCTGGATGGCACAGTGACTCAGTGGTTAGCACTGCTGCCTCACAGCACCAGGGACCCAGGTTCACTTCCAGCCTTAGGCAACTGCCTGTGTGGAGTTTGCATATTCTCCCCATGTCTGCGTGGGTTTCCTCCCACAGTCCAAAAATGTGCAGATTAGATGGATTGACTGTGCTAAAATGTCTGATGTGTACGCTCTGCGATGAGGCATAAGAAATATAAGTTAGGGGTTTGGGTCTGGATGAGATGCTCCTCAGAGGATCAGTATGGGTCAAATGGCCTGCTTCCATACTGTATGGATTCTGTGACTTTTGTTTGTTAGCATAATTGGTCCCTCGTCATGCTCCCTTTTTCAAAAAGTAAGCAAATACATGTTGCTTTAAACATGTTAGATTATTTTTTCTCTAATTACTTTCTGTGGAAAGGCATCAAAAATTGCTGAAACATGACACTAGCTCAACACTATATTTTGATTTGAATGACCAACATCAACAGGACTATCATTTATTTGGATATATGTGCCTTTATGTCTTTTGCTAAACCAGTCAAACTTCATTCTTGACTGACATTCTACAAACAACGTGCACATAAGCCCAATGCAATAGAAAAAGGAACTTCAGTGAAATTATTAAAGTAATTCTCAGTAATTAACAGGAGATGTAGTAGCATCCCGAGATCATAATAGCCATAGCTCTGTGCCTTAGCATAGGCCTAAAAAGTGATTAGTTCAGCATTTAAGATTTTATTGGACCAAAATTATTGCTATTAAATGTTTAAATACATTTCTAAAGGAGTTTTTTTGCATCATTTTGTCAGTTCATTTTCTCTCAATGCAAAGCTCTTGTCTCTCACACCAAGCCCTGGGAACTAAAGAGGAATCCTGAAAAAAACACCATCCTTACTTGCAGAGAAGAGGATTATCAACACAGATTTCATTTTCTGACAAATTGTGAAATAAAGATCAGATGTAGGAATTAAATCATTTATGTTACATTATAAAAGCTTGCAATTTAAGTAAATTAAAACCACACAATAAAAAACTGAGATTGCATTATTGCTCTCTGCAACATTAATTTCAAAAAATGTATTAACACAGCTGAGTTGGATGTTCTGAAGAATTCATTTTCAAGCTTTGGCTTTTTTTTTAAACAATTAATTCTGCAAAGCCACATGCATTAGCAAAATGAATGTTCAGTTCTATGCTGTGTTTGGGACTGATCATTCTGTTCCTGTCTTTTGGGAATTGAGGCAGCAGTAGTGATTGAGTTAAAACAAAAAGTGTTAGCATAAGCCCTTGAATCTGAAGTTCTGACTTATTTCCCTGGATCTGCAATCTGGGGTTGGGAAATTGGATCATTGTTGGATGGACCTCAGATCACATCAGTAATGGTATGCAATTTTTGAGTACGAAGGGGCCATATTTGTCCAGAGGCAAGATGAGCAGCCAACTAGAGGCACCATATAGCACCTAGAGATGGTAATAGGGTCTGGTCAGTAATTTCCAAAGGCAGCCTGCAGCCATAATGGGCTTGCTGTTGCTTGGGTGAATGGAACAGGCATGGAAGCAGAGACCAACAGCTTCATGGCCCAAATAAAAGCCCAAACACTTAGTCATCAAGAAATTAAACTACTTGAGCATCTCAGTTTTATTTTTGGTGACAGTTTTTAAATCAGCAGTCAAAATCAATAATAGCTCCCAATTGTTGTGCACAGATGATGTTCTTGTCACCATTTGTTCTTTCCATTCTTACATTTAAAAATTTGATTCTGTCTCTCCAGGCAGTTAACAAGCTTTTCAATGAGTTTAACAGCAGATTAACTGGAGGCATGTGGGTTGAAAACAGCACTCACCTCTCCTACTTTCAAACATTCTAGTAGAGTTTGGAGACATTCGAAAATTGACACAGCCTGAGAGTGTTACTCTCAGAGTGAGCCCATGCCCAGCTTCACCCCCGGTCTTTAAAACTGATCCAGTGTGGTGAAAGTATGATCGTAGCAACTGGATGCAAGTAATTTTGAGAAGGAAGAAACTTCTTCACAGAAAGGAGGCAGAATTCCGGGGAATGTTACTCCTACACACCTTCTCATGGCTATAGATTAAATAGCTCTGATTGAGCTCTGGTATCTTATTGTCTCCTTGGTTACTTGACCAAATAATGGTGAAGGGGAATGGGACTGTTGAGACTAACTGTCCAATTAATTTGATTGATTGATTGATTGATTTATTGTCACTTGTATCGAAATACAGAGGAAAGTTTTGCTTACGAGAGGTACAGGCAGATCACAGCAAAGGATATACAAATCAAAAAGACTTAGAGGCATACAGGTTACATTGCAGGTTACATTATTTGAGGCTAGAGTCCATTTAACTGTCTGATAACAGCCAGAAAGAAGCTGTTCCTGAACCTGCTTGCACGTGTTCAGGCTTCTGTGTCTTCTGCCTGATGGAAGAGGTTGTAGGAGGTCTTTACCGGGGTGCGATGGGTCTTTAATGATGTTGGTCACCTTTCTGCAGCAGTGACCCATGTAAATAGAGTCCATGGATGGAAGGTTGGCTTCTGTGATGGTCTGGGCTGTGCACACCACCTTCTGTAGTTTCTTACATTCCTGGACACAGCAGTTGCCATACCAGGCCGTTATGCACCCGGACAGTATGCTTTCAATGGTGCATCTGTAGAAGTTGGTGAGGGATCTTACAGACATGCCACATTTCCTGAGCTGCCTGAGGATAAAGAGACATTGTTGTGCCTTCTTGACTGTTGCATTTACATGGGAAGTACAGGACAGGTCGTCAGTTATCGTCACTCCGAGGAACTTGATGCTCTTCAACCTCTCAACCTCAATTCCGTTGATGCAGATGGGAGCGTGTTCTCCTCCTTTCTTTCTGAAGTCGACTTTATTCAGTAACTTGCTTTCAGTTCCAGTTCTGATGTGTGTCTACTTCTGACCAACACATAAGTAGGATGATGTGAACTTACTGGTCTACATTTTTGAAAATAAATCTAATCAACTGCATTAGGACTTCCTAGTTAGTCAAAATAGTAAAACTTCCAACAATTTGTGGCTCTTGAAAAAACACCAACTATTCTTTATTTTCTTTGCCAGCATTTTCAGCAATCTCACCCAGGAGTGAGAAATGAATGAT